GCCTGTTGGAATAAAAAGGTCTTAAGCTTTGATTTGAAAGGGCCAAGTTCAGTGACCAAAGGTAGATCAAGAGGGAGTTGATTCCAGAGACGAGGTGCGGCCGCAGAAAATMCACGATCACCCCAATGTTTATATTTTGTCCTTYGAARAGAAAGCAGGAGCTGGATATCTGACCTCAGAGACCTAGAGCGGYTGGGGAAACTTAACAACTCTGTTATATAAGGAGGAGCAAGGCCATTCAGAGCTTTYAAAACAAACAGTAAAAGTTTAAAATKTATTCTAAAATGGACAGGAAGCCAATGTAATGAGGATAAAACAGGTGTGATACAGTCCCGTCTAGGAGTATTGGTTAAAAGGCGAGCTGCTGCATTTTGTACAAGCTGGAGGCAACCCAGTGATGACTGAGGTACACCAACGTACAGAACATTACAATAGTAAAGTCTTGAAGTGATAAAAGCATGAACAGCCTTCTCCAAATCACAACGATTCAAAAAAGGTTTGATCCTTTTTAAAAGACGTAAATGATAAAATCCAGACTGGACAACAGAAGCAATATGTTTGTCAAAGTGTAAAACCTTATCAAAGGTCACCCCAAGGTTTTTCACACAGTCACTGAAGTTAATATTCAAACTTCCTAGGCCAGTTGCAGCTTTGTCACCAAATAAAATGCATTCTGTTTTACTGTCATTTAAAAACAGGAAATTCTTGTTTAGCCAATGTTTTGATTTCAGAGATGCAGTCGAAGAGAGAAAGCAATGGATTACTAYATCCTGGCCTTAATGGTGGATAAATTTGCAAATCATATGCATAAAAATGAAATTTGACATTATGGCGGCTTATAATAGATCCGAGTGGCAACATGTATAAGGAGAAGAGCAGAGGGCCCAAAATGGAACCTTGGGGCACCCCACACAGAAGAGYGGCTGTAGAGGAAAAGTAGCCATTGAGCAGGATAGAGAAGGTTCTGTCAGATAAATAAMASGTGAACCACTTCAAAGCTGTGCCACYGATCCRAACAAAATCATGGAYGCGAGACAAAAGAACAGAGTGGTCCACAGTAWTAAAGGGTGCTGTAAGGTCAAGAAGCACCAGAGCTACTGGACACCCATAATCAACTGACTGAGCTATGTCATTATGAAGTCTCAGTAATGCAGATTCAGTGCTATGCTGAGATATAAAACCAGATTGAAATTTATCCAAAATTGTGTTTTCTTCCAAAAAAGGCCAAACTTGCCCACCTCTTTGTTAAAATAAGACAAAAAGACCACTGCAATATTTCCAAATGAATAACACCAACAGTGGCATGAGCTTGAACTTTTTAAAGGACGTCAGATAAACTAAGGGCGTTGTGACATCTAACACGATTTATTCTGTCTGACAGCGACTGAGCTCTGCAGCAACCCTGTCAGCTGATTATGCAAGATAAACAATAATGGGGCAAAATCAGCAGACAGATGCGTCAAACGGGAACTGTTGGACTGTCTCCACCAAACTCTGTCACCTCTTCATCCGTCTCATGTTTTTGATTTGACCTGTCATGCCTCCTCTGTATCACCATTGCAAACGCCACTCACCCCTCGACCCTGCTGTCCTCTCTCTCTCTCTCTTCTCTGCCTTTTGCCTCCGGCAGTGGATCACGTGATCCCGGAGCCTGGCAGCAGTCTGATGGAGGCCTACGACCAGTGGAGGCAGTGGGCCGATGAGAAGGCCTGCTGCGATTACTCGCTGCATGTGGACATCACCCACTGGGACGATGGTGTAAAGCAGGAGGTGGATAACCTCATTAAGGAGAAAGGTAGGCTGTGGTGATGAGACGTGAGGTTTATGTCAGAGCATTCAGGTTGGATCTTCTGATAAAGTTAAACTAGAAGACACATAAGTATGACTAACTGTAGAAATTTCATCCTGTCCTTTGTTATGATAATCTGTTTTTCTAACGACTTTATTACCATCTGCACTTATCAATGGTTATAACCACGTTAGGATGAGGAATTAATCAGGCTTAATTATGTTTCATCTTTTAAATATGGAATTTTTCCTTTACAGGTGTGAACTCATTCCAGGTCTACATGGCCTATAAGGACTACTATCAGATGAGCAACAGTGAGGTAGGAGAACTTCAAAACAGTTCATCCTTTAGACCAGTGGTGTCCAAAGTCAGTCCTCGAGGGCTGGTGTCCTGCATGTTTTAGATGCTGCCCTMGTTCAACACAACTGAACCTAAGTTGTGCTTAATTAGTAGGCCTCCTCAGTTTGCCATCAAGATCTGCAGAGGCCTACTAATTAAGCACTCCTTAGGTTCAGCTGTGTTGAACCAGGGCAGCACCTAAAACATGCAGGACACCAGCCCTTGAAGACTGACTTTGGACTCCACTGCTTTAGGTCCTTCAAATAGGAGTTCTATGAAAAGGTCACGATCAAATAATATCTTACCTGTTGTAGGCTAAAACTAAATTAGATGCTTGAAAACAACTTTGATTTAAAACATTTTATAGCTGTTCTTGAATGCTCTTTAAGAAACGATCAGTTTTGTTACATTGCAAAAAATGTCCTTCTAAGCAAGTTTTAAAATCTCATATCCTGCCAAGAAAAGCTTTTTGATCTTAAAAATTCTTTAAATCGCTTAATTTGACTCACATTTATCTTATTTCAAGAATTTTTATCACGTGCAATTGTCTTATTTTAGTTGCAGATTCGAGTCAAATTCGAGTCAAATTTCCAGGCTAACAAGATAAATAATCTAGCACATTCAGTTCTTGTTTAGTAAATCAGTTTCAAAACAAGATCAAAAAGATTTTTCTTTGGCTMGATATAAGATTTAAAACTTGGTTAGATGAACAGTTTTGTGCAGTACACCGTTATTTCAGTGGATATCTTTCCTGCCAAAGGACTCAAYGCTACATCAGAAGTGCTACAGCTAGATGCTGCTGCTAACTTATACTATTTCCAATTAAATGATTTTAACCTTTGAAGCTGGAATGTAATTTTTTTCTTTTTTAAACTTAAGAATTGCCTCCTTTATCACGCATTGGTTACAGCTACATCATGGAGTTGTTCTTCATAGTTTTTTTAGAACTTTTAAAGAGAAATGACATGATTATTTTTTAAATTGCATGTGGACGCGGGCTTTTCAACTAATCTGACTTAAAAAGTATAAGAAAAGATCATCCTCAGACAGTGTGAGATCATGTACGACTCTCCGGGTTTCTCATGCAGCCYTGGTTAATTTGATTCTTAAAGGAGCACATGAGGGAACTAAAATAGTCCTGCTTGAAAAACTGATGTCATGCTCCACACTCAGGAACTATGGCAACAACTGCAGCTCATCCCACGAGTTTCAGTTCTGGAGACCACACAGGGTAAATTGCAGTGTGTCACTGGAGACTTCCTGTAAATTGTGGGCTTCTTCTAAATTGTGACTTATCAGTGAGCAAGGATTCAGCCAGTACTGTCTAATACTTGTCCAAACAGCTTGGCTAGACTTACAAAATAAAAGACGTGCTGCTGTATTTTTTCTGCCTCTTCTCACACAGCTTTATGAGGTATTTACCTTCCTGGCAGAGCGAGGAGGCATTGCTCAGATCCATGCTGAAAATGGCGAGATCATTGCTAAGGTAACTGTAAAAGTATTTGTTTTCTTTGCTTCCTTTTTTTYGAAGTTGTCCTGTGTCCAATTCTGTGATCTGCTTATGTTTAAGTAATGAAAATAAGTTAATAAACTTTAGTTCCCTTTATCTCTGTTTTTCTAGAACATTCAGGCTAAACACAGTGTCAGTGATGAGAGGGGACTGTGTTTCCTGTTGMATAGTAACATGAGGGTGTAGTTTATATGAGATTGTTCTGCTTGTGGACAAATGAAAGAGAATCAGCCCTAACACATGATGGATTTAGGCAGCTGCTAGTGCTCAGAACTTCAGACGGTGCCTGGATTCTATCACAGTGTTGGGTCTTATTCATAATAAATCCAACTTCAGTCACAAGCTTTAACTTTAAAGGAGTCTAACTTCCATCAGCTGTGATACCAAACACATTTGAAACGAGCCATAAGCTTATAGCCACAGCTAAGGTAATTTGAGGTAGGCTCTGTTTGGATTTTCTTTTTCTTAATCTTTATAAATACAAACTGTAAAATCCAGTAAAAAAACTGTTCCTGAAAAGTTTGCAGCTCATTACTGAATTGTGTGCGTTGGCGCGGATTTTGAAAAATGATATTCAGCTATAATGACATCCACATTCCAGTATGGTTTATTCCTTCATTCCCGTAAAGCTCCCTTGACTCTCACGATGTTTATAATCCAACCTCTCATTGGAGCACAATTGGAAATGGGGTGAAAGTTGAGATTTCCTAAAATTTCCAAAATCTACAAAGGAACCTAAAAGTGTATTCCTTAAGAGCAGTGCTCACTTTCCAAGTAAAAATTCAATTCATTACTTTTATATTTTTGTTACATTTGTTTTGTATATTTAATTTGAGTCATTTATATGAAATTTTATTTGTGGCAGTTATAGTCTTTCATATTAATTACTAGAGCACAAATTAAACCTCTTTATGCAGATTTGTAAAATTATATGTACATATTTCTTAGACTTATCTGTGATTTACGATTGATTTTTCCTGTGATTTAAACAGGATTTACTTTCTGTTCTGCTTTTTTACAAAACAGGGCTTACTTTTATTATTGCGTGCCTTTTCATATTGAAAGTCTTGCAAAAGTAACAGGAAAAAGTTTGTTTGATTATTCTAGAATATTGTGCTGCAGCATCTTTTACAAATGTAACAGAAGGGGATTATGAGTGGTTTAGGTGCTGACTGTTTTATAGAAAAAAATWAAAAATAAAAAATGCAGTCATATCTGAAATATTTTCATCCATCGCAACGATGAGTCCACCTCTGGATTCACTGCAAATTTTTTGAAAAAAATCTGAAAATGTGTTTAAAGACACTTCAAAGGCTTGAGGATTCCCACAGAGGGATGTGCCTGACCTGACCTCCACTGACAGAACTGCTGCTTCTCCGCTTCACACAGATTTTTAATTCTGGTGCATGACCACCACTTTTCACATCTGCTCAAGCATTCATGACACCAAAAACCACAGAAATATTCTTGCATCCTAAGGATCTAACAACTTTTTTGTGTGTGATGGTTTGCTCTGCAGGAGCAGGCCCGGATGCTGCAGATCGGTATCACTGGACCAGAGGGACATGTGCTGAGTAGGCCAGAGGAGGTATAATAATTAATGTTTTATTAAACACATTAACTTGTTTTATTGTGTGCTTTAATGCATATTTTTGCTTCTTATAAAGCACTTTGTGACCCACTCTACATTTAATAATGTATAAAATTGTTATTATAATAGTAAAACATAAAGAAAAAGCATGAACTAGCAGGGAATTGTGCTTTAAATCTCAATACATTATATGAATAAAAGAGTTTTTCTCTTACAGGCAGCTTGCTGACAATATCACTCTGACACACACATCGCCTTCTGCTCTGGTCTTCACACATATTGATCTTGTTACACATGTGGTTTTAGACACACTGGAGTTCTTGTGTGAATATCGCCCGGTTCCACCACTTGTCGCCACTGATGTTTCTTCAACAAACAGCCAAAATGAAAACCATACTTTAAGCTCAGCAACTTTTCTGCCTTCAGCTCGACAGGGACTTTCCGTTCTGTGGAAGACTAAAGTGAMGTTCCTATGCCAACACAATAGTGTCATGCGCTACAGGGAAATCTCAGGCACCAAGATCTTGTTAAACTTAATAGAATTAAACAGAGGCAGGTCAAGTTTATTGCTCCTATTATTTTTATTAGTATCTATCGTTCTATTTGGACTTGATTTACTTGTTCTTCCGACCTTAGCTGAACTYTGATGAGAGCACAAATATCAGCCAAAGTCTGCAAAAATCTGTCCAATCTGTTTGCCTTCAAAGACTTTCATTTAATAAAATGTCRTCATTTTAGTTTATTTTATTTGTTTGTTTTAAACTGTTTTTTTACAGAGTTTCCTTCACCACCACTGAATCCACAAAGCTAATGTTAAACACACAAAGTCTTTTCATTTTGTTTCAAAAAGGAATGTCTCCAATCAGATAGCTACAGGAAAACATAACTTGTTCTGGTTTATGTTATCTGAAGTCCATTTGACAAGATCATCATTTCAGCAACATGGTGCTGGTCTTTCTGCAGTTGGAGGCCGAGGCTGTGTTTCGTGCCGTAACCATCGCCAGCCAAACCAACTGTCCTCTCTACGTGACACGAGTCATGAGCAAGAGCGCCGCTGACATCATCTCCCAGGCACGGAAAAAAGGTAACAAGAACATTTTGAACGCATCTCTCTGGATTATGTGAAATCCAGGTTGATGGAAAACAATTCAGTTGTTTCTGCATGCACAGCATAGCTAAAGTGCAAATGCAGATCAACTGTGCTTACTTGAAGCTGTAAGCCTCAATAAGCTACACATAATATTGTATTTCTCTAAAAAGACAGTTTACTGAAGGTTCCATTTGCTATTTTATGCTGAACGCCTYTTTTTGAAAATGCTGATTTACTGTAGATGGTTTTTGTGTTAGAATAGAAAATCCTGATTAAAGTCTGTAATAATTAAATAGTTAATAATTTCTAAACAAAAAAACATAAAAAAAGAATCTGTTGCAGTGAATGCAAGTTGAAGCACTGTTTCTAAACATTTGCATGGACACCAAGAAGCCCTACAAAAAGAAAAAAGTTTGTTTGGACCTCAGGGATTGCACACAGATGTACAATGACTCAAGCCCCGCTTGACATAATGGGAAAAAAGACTCTTTTGTTACAGCATCACTTTCAGCTTTTCATATTAGGTCTTTTTTGTGGCTTAGTTTAATTCAATTCAGTTTATTTATAAAGTGCCAATTCACAACGAAGGTCATCTCGGGCCACTTTACAAAGAAAGTCATTGGGTCCAATTTAAATCCAGTTGCACATGATTGAGTTTTCTTCTCTTAACAGCAAAAACACATGTGGACTTCCAGGACATGATGGATTGTGAAATACACCCCAAAAAATAAATAAAAATAAAAAAAGAGAATGCAGAAAAGAACATTGTGTGTTTGCTTACTTTTGGTGAACAACCACAGGAGATTTTACCACACAATGCAGATTGCATTGTGTTCATGTGCATTATTTTAATGTCCTCTATACTTTTCATTTTTTATGTTGTTGTTTGAATACATTTCCAAACTCTTTCATCTAAACTAGAAAAAGCACAAATCACTGTCATGTCAAAGTGAGTGATGCATATTATTTTAAGATATCAACTCTGAAATGCAAAAAGTAAYGAAATTAGTGTTTGATAGATTATTTCTTTGTTGTAATAATGCTTATTGGCAATAAATATTATACCTGCACCTGACTGGCAGCACCAGAAGCTCAAAAAAAGAATCAATAGCAACACCAAAACTATTCTATTTGTCAGAGAAGATATGGCATTTTTTTCATGTTCAAAACCCACATACCCAGTTTTCATCCCATTCCAAATAAATGTTATGAATCGCTGGAATTGACATTGTTGTTCACCTTACAGACACTCAGATGGTTACAAAATTGAAGAGTTAGTTCATTCGACTCATTATTCAAAACTGTTTTGTAAATTTGCTATCTCTTTTTTTGAAGGAAATGTGGTGTTCGGGGAGCCAATCACAGCCAGCCTGGGGACGGATGGGACACATTACTGGAGCAAGAACTGGGCCAAAGCTGCTTCCTTTGTTACGTCACCTCCTCTTAGTCCTGATCCCACCACTCCAGACTATTTGAACACACTGTTGGCAAGGTGAGCAGCACAGTGACTCCCTCCGGTTTGGGTGTTGACTTGCTTCTTTTTTTTAAGACACAGGAGGGGAAACAGCAACTCTAGTAAAGAAGGATGAAACATCACTGCCTTTTCCTGTTGTTCAGAATATAATCCAAAAAGTTGGTGATTCTGGGTCGCTGCCATGTTGTATTTTTGGAGCCAGAGGCTGCTAACAATAATTAATTAAAGCTAAATTCATTGAGAAAAATGCCCTTTATGCAAATAAAAAAATCAACACCTGAAAAGACTTATCTGTAGGGTTTTTTATTTCTTAATCAGAAAAAAAAAAAACTGGTTTGTTTAAAATGAGGGGCGGGACTTAAAACTTCTCCTGCAGCCAGTCATTGATAGGAGGGAGCTGGTCAAGCTTGTGTGAAATCATAGGAAAATTAAAAGAAGCCAGCCAAGACATCTAGAAGAGAATTGACCTTTACATCTCTGCACTGCTCAGGAAGTAACTGGGTTCTGTTACATTACATTACAGTCTGCAAACTCTCAGGGACAGAACTCTTCATGTTTTGATAGAASTGTCCGATGATCTAATGAAACTAAAATTTACCAGTCATATAACGACTATTGTTATATTTGGAGGGAAGAAAAGGGGAAGTTTACACCATCCCAACTATGAAGTACAGCATCATAGTCTGGGGTTGGTTTGCTGCAGGGTGGGCTGGCCTGCTTCACAAAATATATTAAATCATGAGGAAAGAACAGGAAAGGTTTAGTTTGATGTAATGTGAGATAGAAAGAGAAAAGCTGCTTTTTTATCAAAAAGAAAAAAACATCTGGTTTCAACTGTTTATAAAGAGAAAATAACTTATTGGGGCAGCTGGGGCTGAGTGGTTAGGGGAGTCGTCCTGTAACCGAGGGGTTGTTGATTCAATCCCCGTTCGTTGTGTCCTTGGGCAAGATACCTCACCCATCTTGCCTGCTGATGTTGATCAGAGGTGGTGCATGGCAGCCCCGCCTCTGTCACTGTGCCCCAGGGCAGCCCTGGCTACAATGTAGCTTGCCATCATCAATGTGTTACTGTGTGTGTGAATYGGTGACTGCCTGAAGTGTAAAGCGCTTTGGAGTCCATGTGGACTTGATAAGGTGCAATATAGGTTCAAGCCATTTATCATTTTATCATTTAAATTAATAGCTTGCTRATGCTAGCTGTTGCCCAGCTAGCAGTCTTCATTATAATAAACAGGAAACATTCTGCACTATAAATGGTTTTCAAATGACGTAGCAACATGCAGATCACGTGATCAAATCGCCATATTCGTGGCTGCGAAAGCGGAAGAGGGGATAGTCTACAGCACAGAAATGTATATAGTCTATATTATTTATGTAGTATGTTTCTATTATAAGTTGTTTTAACAGTCATGGAGCAAATTTCCGTTCGAGTTAGTTACAAAACTGTGCTGCTCATGTGGCAGAGAAACGTTCTTAAAAATACAGACGGTGTAAAAACACTAAGAAGTAGAACTGTCGGCAAAGCGACATGATTTTGTGGCTGGCGATAATCAACCACAAAGAGTTCACCCTCCTCAGGATTCCAGAGTGTGTTCAGATCACTCCTACCYTGGCTAGTGACCYCATAGTACGTTAATTAACTTAAAAAAAAGAAAAAGATTGCSCACTATGAACAGAAAAGTACTTTGAATATTATGCAATCTACTCTTGTAAACACAAACATAGGATACACTGACAGCATCAGATTATAATCACAAAAAGCTCATTATGCAGTATGTACCCATTTAGAGTACGTAAGACATTGTTACTAATAATATCAGAGAAAGTCACACAAAATCATGTCAACTCAGTCTCCGTGTCGGCTCTGCAGACTTCAGCAGCTCATAAGGATCGTTACTTTCAGTAAAGCTAAATACCTTGATTTAGATTTATTATTCAGTAGATCCATGGGTGTCCTGAAAGGCACATTTTAAATACAAAGTATTATTATCCTGGTCACGCTCGTCTGCATCGTTCAGTGGCCTTTTTGCATTTTTTCTCCTTTGCTTTTGTGGTTCTTCCATACTGGTTTTATTGCAACAAACTAAATAGTAGCCCACGGACGGGGTGAGGTGGGTAAAAAAGTCCCGGATGATGTCGTCAATGAAAACCATCTATTGGGACAAACTTTGATGTTCTGCTTGCGTCTCCTGCTAACATAAATAAAATGTCTTTATTAAGTTTAAACAGCCCCTCTTGTGTAAATAAAGTTTGTTGTGCTCATTTAATCCCACCGTCATGTTTTCCCTCCCCCCCAGTGGAGACCTGAGCGTGACTGGCAGTGCACACTGCACCTTCAGCGTGGCCCAGAAGGCCATCGGCAAAGATGACTTCACTCAGATCCCAGAAGGCGTCAACGGAGTGGAGGAGAGGATGACACTCATCTGGGATAAAGCTGTGGTGAGGACCAGTTAGGTTGCTTTTTTGAGGTTTTTATATTTTGGAAAATGGCCTGTCCAAAACAGGCAACTAAATGAAAACACAGGCACAGAATGATTTACTGCATTCGTTTTTACTGAGCGCTTCTTGCTCTTTCCCCTTTTCCCCCTCTTAAATCATTCAACTGGAATGTTTGTTCTGTCATTTTCATTCTCCTCAGTATTATTGTTTTCTTCAATCAGATTTACATCTCTGGCTTTTTGTAGTCCTCGTGTGATGTATCTGRTTTGAACTTTTCTCTCTCAGTTTTCCTTCAGTTTCTTTGTCGCACTGCCTGTTCTTCTTTATTCTAATTTATTCTAATCCCAACACATGGATATTTCCTTTATGCAACCTTAATCATTTCATTTCCTTTAGCAATTTCTTGTTATCGGTAAAGCTGTAGTTGTTACTCTGGGGAATTCATTGCTGGATATAAAATGGGAAGGACTTTCCTGAGGACTAAACTTTGTAAAAATCACATCTAACCTACATAATTTAAATAAATCACCCAAAGTGATAAAACATTCAATATGTTGGGAGCAGAGGTGATTGCTCTGAGACTGCAAGGGAGGCTCAGCTTCCCCTAAAATGTAAAAATAAATAAATAAATAAAATAAGTGATCAAATATATACTGTTGTCTGTTTGTTCAGAATCTGCTTCTTATCACTGGTAATGACGCAACATTCCTCATTTCACGCATTCCCTCAGCTTCACAGTGCTTTAAACAGTCTGACGCTGAGCGTCTACAGAGCTCATTAACGATGCAAAGACTGCAGGGAAACGAGACAATTCATTGGATAAATGCTGGCTTTGTCCCACCCATCGGACGCTCAGCGTCTCTGGGGGTCTATGGGGCAGTGGGCTGGCCTCGGCCAGCCTGGACGCTCAGGTTCTGCATGATGATTGGATGATCTGTCGGAGGCTGATTCCCTTTTTGATTGACAGCAAACTGAGCAAACCAGCGATCTTTTGGTGTAAACATTCTGGAGAATTTTTACTTTTGTTTCTGTTCTGAGTTGAACTGGAYACTTTATTAATCCTTTTAGCAGCATTTTGTTTGTTTAAAACGACTAGTGACAAATCGAGCTTCTATTCCTGGAGGTTGTTTTGTAGCTGCTTCTGTTTGGAGATGGACTTCTATCACTCTTTCTGACTTCTTCTGTCCGGGGGGTGCTGCTGAGCCCCTTCACTGTCACAAAACACTCACAGACGGACACACTTCACTCTAGCCTCGCGCCAGTAGCAAGCTGCACATAATTGCAGACAGTTTGAATGTTGTGGACCGAATTTTGGTGAAGCCATTATAGTCTTTTTTACAGAGGAAAACTTAGAGTTAAACAGCAGGGCTGATCAACTGCTCTGATTACTTTGGTGCAAAAGGMGGGGTAAGATAAAATAACTTTTTATAGATCCCACAGTGGGGAAATAACAGGTCTTTTCATCTGTCCTGGTATAACAGAGCTGGCTGCTGTAAAAGWCTATAGAATAATCTGGAAAATTATTATAAAAGCATTGGATCAATTAATTCCTTTAAAAAATCATCAAAGCAAAATTGTTAAAGAAATATGAAATTGTTTAATTTGTATTTGTATGAGTCACTYTTTGAGGAGTTGAAATTTTTTTGTTTTGTTTTATTATTTGGTTTATTGTTTGAAATTAATATTTTTTGTAAAAAGGAGCAGATGTCATGATATTTTTATTCTTCTGCTGCCTTTCATTTTATTTTATTTGTATTGTTTTGTTGTATGTAATGTTTTGTTTTTAAAAAATAAATGAATTAATACTATAAACTAAACAAAATGATCTATGACAGGGTCACAGATCATTTTCTTTAAAAGGAACAGAGGGTAGAATTTATAACCCACACATTTTATGATGTAGGCCGAAACCGAGCTTCCTCTTCTTGAAAGACCAGCATCCGTCACTGGTTGGGAGGATCATACAAAACAGACTTTTTTGAGCATCAAGTCAGGTTATGTCATTCCCTCATCACACACATACCCAGAGTGTTGTTTTGACTCGTTCATTTGAGAAATCCTTAAATCTCCTGGAGCTGCCTGGACCCTTGCTGTTACAAAGCAKCGTGTGTTGTACGTAGCTCCTCCCTGGAGCGCAGTGCCCAGCCCAGATCTCACCCCACACAGCACCCCTCCCTCGAAGCTATGATGCACAGCCAAATTTCTTTTTGATGTATACAGAATTTTCATAACAACTGAAGATAACTGATGGTGGTATAGAATTGAACWWTGTGCCTGGAAAGTACATAATACTGCCCCTTTAAGAAAGGAAAACCAGATACATTTCAGTCAATTTTGCAAATATGGAGATATTGTGCTAGTTCTTGCACTTTACGCATTCCTAATTTTTCCTTTCTTTAGAAACTAAAATCTGTGTTGTTACTTTTTCACACAGACTACAGGTAAAATGGATGAGAACATGTTTGTGGCCGTCACCAGCACTAATGCCGCCAAGATCCTGAACCTGTACCCTCGGAAGGGCCGGATCGCTGTGGGCTCTGATGCCGACCTGGTCATCTGGGACACAGACGCTGTTCGCACCATCACTGCCAAGACTCACAACTCGGTGTGTATGCAGGCCAAAATGCTTGTGTTTGTGTTTGTGTCAGGTTCCAGGTAATTTATTTTTCTACCTTCTGAATTTTCTTCCAGCAGTATTTCTWTTGTTTTTTGTCCTTTTCCATTGCCCAATTTTGACTATTTTTAGGAAGGATAACTTGAGTATAACTGAATACTAGTAATAGAATTGCTCAAAGAGAGAATGTTTTTAGGAGTGGTGAATGCAGTGATCAAGTGTGATATGTGATTTACATTCTACATCTGTCTGTGCAGCACTAGAGGTTAAAGAGAGGGAGCACATTTTTGAACTGCTTCCAGAAAGCTCTTAGTTCCTCTGGACGGAAATGAAGTCTCAGTGGATACTCGCGACTAATTCCGCTCATGCTGCTCTCGTCACATGACRCAAAGCCAGTCCAAAACTGCTCAGCCTGGCTTAAAGTGATGATTTTTGAAAAAAGGTTGACTTGTTCAAATGGATTTTCCCAAATGCTTTTTGTGGTTGAACCAGAGCTAATCAGTAGTATTTGATTGCATGTGCTGAAAAATCAAGAAATATAACTTCCACTCATCAGATCACTCAGAATACACTCAGGATTGGAAAAGTGAATTTAAGCCAGGAAATTTATATCCCTTTCCAGTAGTAGAAAGAGTCGGTTCAACCAGATTCAAGTCTCTATATGTTATATAAAATTGCACTCACTAAAATATTCATTAACAGCAGTTATACAGTATATGCTGTTGTGTATTAAAATGAAAAATTTCAAGCCAAACTACCTTACAAACACAGATGACAGATGTGTTTTCATTCTAACTGCAAATGGTTTAGGAACAGGGCCTGGAAACACCTTTTGCACGCACATCTTTTCACACATTACACATGCATGCTGTCAGCACACCTGGTCCATGTTAGGAAACAAGTTTTTTTTTTTTGTTGTTGTTGCACAGACATTAGAGGATTGTATACTGGCAGCTCAGCTGTGCAGGAAATTAAGGCTTTAGCAGCCCAACACAAATCCTGCATTTACTTGAAAAATGCAAGTGAAAGGTAAATATACATTTAAAGTGCCTATGTGACATCAAATTATTAATAAATGTGTTTGCCTTTTTGGAAAAATAACATTGATAAAATATTGTAAAAAACATCACGCTGCTGAGATGAACAGTTGTTGAGATGTTCAGATGTGAAGAAACAGGAAGTGATGATAAAGGGGAATGTCTGCATGTAAACAGTGTCACTAAAATGTGACAACACAGTCTTTAGAGAAGAATCTGACATTTCTTTAGATAATTTGAGTCACTTTCAGAGAGCTAGATAAATCTAGCTAAACAAAGACCAGGTAGTTATATTTCTTGAAGAATTCCCCTTTGATGTCACTTCCTGTTTCACTTTGGCTGAGCCAAATTCAAAAGAAAATGTCAGTTATTTGACAAAATTGGTAAAATTGTGTATTATGTCAAGTTTCTTTAATATAAATAAGTTTTCCTTGACTTTTTTGTATTTGAAGGATGTGCAGGTCCTTTAAAGGCAACATATATTATTTGATGATTAAATGCATTTTGAGTTTAAGTTGAGGAACAATTAAGTGGTAATTTTTTTTTTTTTTGTTCTTTTAGTTGTTTTGTTGTAGTGAACTTTTCTGTATCTGAATGGAGGAACTGAGTGTAACTAGACTAATAGTAAACTTTCTGCGAGTACATTCAGAAGTTCTTAGATATTTATGTCACCCCTTCATTTCCTGCTGGCTGCCTTTCAAGACAAGCTGTAAGAAAGCCCAACACAAGAGCACAGTGACTCCCAGTGTTAAAAGATCTCCCTTAACAGACACCCAGAAGACCAAACATAACCGACTCTGTTCACGAGCTCATTGTGTTTGGCAAAATGCTTTCCTCAGACTTCGCTGTCTCTCAGTTTATCAGTAAACCCACATATGGTTTGGACTGAAACTTGTTGTCAGCATAGCAGTTTATAAACACAGAATAAAAAAAAGACAAAAAATAGACGAAACACAGACAAGAACAGGCACACTGAAACACACTCGGCTCAGTCATGACATCATGTTTGGCGCGCTGTAAGTTTTAGTTATGTCCTGTTCTGGCCTGAATTTGGACGGCAGCAGAAAATGGGGCCGTGTGCAGAGGAAATAAGTAACAATGGAACAAGGGGAGGGGACTGTCAGAGATCACAAACATGCTGAGAAATGAAAAGTTGGAGGATGGTGGAAAAGGCACGATTAAAACGTTGCCAAGGAATAGATAAATCAACATTAGAGGGAGTAAGAAGAAGAAATATTGTTTAATATAAATATCTGAAAATAAATACTAAAAAAAGAGCAAAGTGAAGGGAGTCAGATAGGACTCGAAGTAGAGCCAAGTGAGGAAGGGAAACGGTGTGAAGATCTACAAAGGCATCAGATGCCATTTTAATGATGCCAGCTGTTGCTTCAGGCCAAAAAAAACAAGTGGAAAAAACAAGGTGATGAAAGAGGGGAAAATGAGAGGATTAAAACAAGTCAAGCTTGGTTTTGAACCATAATGGTTCAAAACCACAGCAAACAAAAAATAAAAAAAGACCTGAAATGAACTGTTTGATTTATCAAAGCTCATATTTAATGTATTTCACTGCTGTGACAAACTTATTTCTCCACAAATATCTCCTCTAACTTGTCTCGTGTGTTTTCAGGCTGCTGAATACAACGTGTTTGAAGGCATGGAGCTGCGCGGGGCCCCTCTGGTGGTGATCTGTCAGGGGAAGATCGTTCTGGAAGACGGAAACCTTCATATCACCTCTGGAGTGGGACGCTTCATCCCCTGCTCCCCCTTCCCAGACTTTGCATACAAGCGCATTAAAGCCAGGAAGCAGGTAAAAAGAACAGCATGTTTGGATGWTATCAGTCCATTAAATGGACATTATTAGCGGTTATCAGTCCCATAGAATGGCTTCAGACTGTCCCGACAGTGCCCCCTAGTGGGTTACTAGTGCCATAAACGTTGGAATGCAACAATCTGCTACCGCCAGAGTCCGGTCTACTTTATCGAAGCCCATGTCATTTTCTCTAAAATTAACCTTAGTGGCTTGTGCCTCAAATTAACCAGATTGCATAAAAAACCTTAGTGGCTTTATGCCTCATACTAACTAGCTGACAGTCTGAAGCCATTCTATGGGACTGATTACGGCTAATAACATCCATTCAATGGATGATAACATCCGAAGCGGGTGAAAAGAATGCATGAGCAACCTTGGAACTCTACAATATTTTATAAATGGAGGTCTTTGTAAATGTTATGTCAGTGCACCGAATGTCCTCAAGGAATTCAGAGATATGGCAGATCAATATGTCAAAATTGTTCAAATTTAACAACTTAGCATGAAATAGAGTTTTGAATTAGGGAAAATCTTTTGTTTTTGTAAATTAAATAGATTATAAAAGTTCAGTCACATTGTTGTAGCACAATAAAACAATTGTCAACTTTTTAGTGTTGTTTACAACTTTGTTTTTGGCAACAGATTTCAGATATAAAGATTAAAGATTAAAGATAAAGATTATGATTAAATTAAATTAAGAATAAATTAAAGATTAAAAATATGGAATTTAAAAAGTCCAAAATGTTTACTCATCTAGAGGAGAAGAGTTATGTTTGTCACAGGGAAGCCCACAAGATTAAGTGTTTAAAGGGACTTTCCTGGACAATGGCTTGCTTGGCAGCCAGTCAAGAACTGCAGGACTGCAGGAAGTTACTGTGACAGCTTCATTTTTAATGTGCAGACATGAGGTCGCTTCACTTCTGCTGACACTTTTAGTAAAAAACTAGGATGTACTGTAAGGTTCTTTAGTTTTTTAGTAGAATGTAAAAACCCTTATGGCAAAACAATACCTTTGAATAAAAATGTCAACAAACAGCAAAAATAGATGAAATGTGCAGAATAAACTACCAGAAAGGACAAAATCCAGACAAAAATCTACAGAAGCTTTATCACTCTACTACTTATAAACACAAAATTCAGAATATAAGACATTTGTTTACTGGCTTGATTTTAATCATCTAACACCAAAATACATTTTCCATTTTTTATGACCCCAGAATTCCCATAACCAAACATTTTTAGTTCCCTAAGTGTTTCCTAATTTGTAACTGGCTGCTGATGAGAAACTGGAGCTGGAGTAACTGTACTCTGTTTATCTTGGTAGCAGTTACTGTTATGCTTTCTTGGTCCACAGATGTCTCTTTTTAACTCATGATGGAGCTTCCAACATTCCACTGAGTCACGGCACTAACAGGCAGACAGACAAAGGCTTGTTGACAAGCAGCATCAAGAGTCAGCTCGATACTGATGCTTTGTTTTATGCTTCTTCTGCTGAAGCATCTGGAAGACTTTAAAATTTGTATGACTATGAGTTTGTGTGTTTTTCTCATGTTGATGTGTAATTCTGTTCTCCTCGGAAAGAGCACAAAAAGTCATATAATATGTAAAACATATATACACAAGTATAAATTTGGTAACATTTATTTAGTTTTTAGAATTTTTTTTTCATTTTGATTTGATCGCAGAACCTCCATCTGTCCCTTGTGTTTGTTCTGTAGCTGGCGGTTCTGAGGGCAGTGCCTAGAGGAATGTATGACGGCCCGGTGTCTGAGTTCTCCATGTCCCGTGGCGGTACCCCCTCTGCCTCGGCACGCACTTCTCCCACCAAGCAGCCTGTCAGAAATCTGCACCAGTCTGGATTTAGTTTAGCAGGTAACCCRGTAGCAGCCGGTGAGCCCAACTTCTTTATAGAATAATCTCTGTATCACCCTGTCCTTTCTTTTTCTTTTTTAAATTTGTGTTTGAACTTCATTGATTGACATTTATAAGTGTTGAAATAAAAGTAGGATGTGTTCAACTAAGATGTTCCCAAATCCCAGCCACTGCTTCATACTTTTGTCAGTTCATATTACTGTGATTTGAAGCATGATTTTCTTTTCTTTGACTCACTCTTAAAGTGTTTATTTGACAGTGGGGCAGACGAAGCAGGTCAATAATTTAAACATTAATAAGAGGACTTTAAAGTCAAAATTGTGCACTTTTGTGTGACCTTGTATTAAACAAATAAATGGAAAAAGTCAAATCCTTGGCCAATGGAATGCAAGGTTGCACAGGGGCCATTTTGATGCAATTTTGTTTCATTTAAGCAATTCATTGTGACTTTTTAAATCTACATTTCCATTCAAAATGGTCATCTGTATCCCCAGTCTAATTACAATAAATATAAATAATTAAAAAGTCCCTATTTTTATTTTATCTGCATTTTTATACTCAAAAAACAGATGTGTTGGATTTACTTAACTAAGTTACATCAAGTGGTTCCAATCAACTGAGATGAGTAAATGCAAAGCACATTTCACATTTACTTTTTAAGAAAATGTGAAATTGCTTTACATTTGGAATTTGTGAAGCAACCAGAACCAATAGACATAACGTGGTAAAGCAAATCCAACACATTGAGTAAATAACCTGATTTGTATAAAAAGTATGTATACTAGCCAAAAATTTAGGCTAACTATTATTAGTTATTAAAGTTATAAAGTTATAATAGTTATATTMTTATAAACACTCATGTGTTTATAGCACAGCAGATCAGCATAAAACTAAAAGTATTATAGTTTCATGACACATGTTTAAGAATATCCCATGAAGCATTTTTTTAAATTACTCTAAATTTTAAATTATAGTTGTGATAGTGTTCCAGGATTTCTGTATTTTTGCAGAGGGTTTTGGTCAGGTTGTTCATTGCTCCCCCCGTCTAAAGAAACAAAGCCAATGAAATAGCTAAATAGCCCACTTCTTCAGGTCGTCCTCTCATCCCATTATATTGTCTTTTTTGATCTCTGTCAGGCAATGTTTCCACATTTTTAATCCACAATTCTCAGAGAAACGGTGTTAACTCGTACTGTTTGCACATAAACAAATGCCGGTTCCAATTCGTGCCAGAAATCACACCCATAATTCACGCAAGGCATCATGGCGGCTAGGAATAAGATAGATAAATGTGACTCACAGAGTGTAAATTGAAGATGTTTTTGTTCTTCTTAAACACTTATTGTTTTTGTTTGATATGTTTAACTTGATAAAATAGAAAATTATCTCTAATGACTCCCACACCTCCCCATGTGACGACTTCCCAAACAGAGATTTACAACTTATATACAATAAAACTGTTTTTCTGTCTGTTTAGAACACTTTGACCTTCAGTTAGAGCCTCTTCAGTGGATTAAGCCACCGTAAAACAACGTTATCCTGACATTTGCACTAATTTACAGTCAAGCTTGAATCTCTCAGGCCTTTAGTCCAGGCATCTGGACACGGTCTGATTGGACGGCCTGTCTGATGTGAGAGCTCATAACAGTGTCTTTGTTAGACATTTGTTCCATTACGAGGAGTTGAGGAATGATATCCTGATTCTGTCCATATGTTAGGTCAACAATGAACGATCTTAGATTCAGAAAACTAATGGTAGAAATTATAATTTTCATAGCTGATTAGTCACTTTGAAAGAAAAGCGTGTTTGGCTTCTGGCAGTATAGAATCACTTATGATATCATGATGACAAAAAAAGTGAGCTTTGCTGGAAAGAATTTCCAAACTTGAACATTTGAAGCAGAAGCGGGGCTGCCCCTGGTTTCCCAGGATTTGCAGCCATCATGTTTCTGTGTTCTTGCGTGCATACTCTCTGAATGACCCTGACTCCCGTCTATTTTAGTTTATATAGGGATACCACCTGCAGAGTAGATTTACTTGTCTGGAAAAAAAGGGGAGGGATGTTGGATAAGACACAATGCATCACAGTCTGACATCATTTACTTTCCATTTGTGTTCTCACTGTTAATTTGTTTGAACAGACATCCTGGCTGATTCTTTGGAATTTCTTCCTTAAAGTGAAGCTTCCACATTTTTTGATAACGTTGCAGCGGTCGTTACATGTCGTAGATAAGGTTGTCACTGGGAAAAAATGTAACACTCTAACAAAAAGTAATAGAAATAAACCTTTATGCTATTCATCCATCCAATATTTTTGCAGACAAACATGTCAGTAAAATACAAATAGCTAGTTTATTTTTTTGATTTTTCCCAACATTAATCAAACACGTTGCCTTTTGTTTTTACTTTTCTGCATTTCATTTGTTCATTCTTTGCTGTTTTGTCCTCTTTTTGTCAAACATTATTCATTGTTTTTTTCTTTCAATAATTTCTAGGACCCCCAACTCCAGACGATGTCCCCATTAGGCCTGCGGGCCGTCGTATTGTAGTGCCCCCTGGTGGCCGCTCCAACATCACATCTCTCAGTTAAATGACAAAGAATTCCGAGGAGATGCTCCCACAGATCAACATCCAGACTGCAAGATGGAGTGTGGGAGGGGAGGAAAGAAAGAAGCGAGGAGGAGAGGACCCTGATTAGTTCAAAGTTTAAAGAAAAAAAAAGAAGAAAAAAATAGAAAAACACTGAATCCTCATGCCTTACCTGTCACCACTTTGCTATGCTCAAATGAGAATTGTGTCCCTTTTTCCTGGAGGGCATCAAAGAAGTTAGAAATTGCCACCAAAGCGCATCAGTGTTAGCCTCACTTCTTCACAGCTTAGAGTTTTCAAAACCTGCAGGGTTTTTGGAAAAAAACAATTATAAAATCTGGCATTGAACCAACAATAGCAACCACAAAAATAAGTGTTTTTAAAGGAAAAAAGGTACTTATTTTCTCAGAATGATGCTGTTCTTCTTTTACCCTGCTTGGCTTTCAGTATCGACCCTTTTTTCAGTCGACTGCTTTCTCCATAATCAGCAAAACCTACAGTAATAGATCCCACATTAGCCATGTCTCATCATGCAGTACCATTGATTAGCACTAGGTGGTGTTGTATATATGATAGGTGTAATGTAGCTTTGTGAATGATGTTCCAGCCTGTTTGGGTGTGTTAGAGCAGGCAGAATAGTTTTCTCACCTCTGACAGCCGGAGAGTGCTGCGGGACATGGACCTGCATGGGCCACATTATTATGGGCGACCTGTTCCATGCTCCGCCTCCTCCTCAGAAGTGTTTGATAAAAAGAAAACATTTTCATGATGTACTGTATTGATTCTCAATGTTTAAAATGACAAAAAAAGAAAGTTCTGCTTAAGAAAAAAACAAGCAAAAAAGATGAAATATAAGAAGTGGTTTTACTATTCTGTCCCAAACTATTTCTGTCAGTTTTATTTTCTGCTCTCCATTGTTGCAGTGTAAAAAAAAACAAAACAAAACAAAACCAAAAAAAAAACACATTGTGAGAAACTATTATTTGCTTCTAGTATATTGGCTGCTCCTGTAATTCTGCAATCATATCGACACACAAAAAAAAAAATAAAATATGTTGGTGGACAACACATAAGAAGCAGGAATTAACTGTTCTTTGTAGCAACTTGTAATGAAAAGCCTTGCAGACGCAATGACCTTATTAAAGAGTAAAACTTGCTTTCAGATAACGGTGCTTTACCTCCAGCTTTACTTTCGTTCTGAGCCAGCCAGGCTCCCATTTTAAGACAAGTTGAAGGACATCACTCTCTTGGCATTCCAATGCATTCAATATCAGCCTGATCAGGGTAGGTATTACAGCTTATTATGTTTGGATTGCAGTGCAGTTTTAATTTTTTTACCCTGTTGTTGGGGAATTTTGAAGGAGACACATTTTAATTTGGCAGACTGAGGCAGTGATATTTTGTTGTATTTATGTTAGTTTGAGAATCTTTGTTACTGTTTTTGTTTCCTTTTGTAACTGTTAAATCAAAACCCTGAGATGACAGGTCAAATCTTGAGAAGTGGTAGTATCGTTTGTTTCCTGAATAAACAAGTTGCAACTGATGTCTCTTGTGTTGTATTTTTATTACAAGCCTGCACAATGACATTTGAGATTATGTTGAATGAACAAATACATTTGGTATTCACTAGAACAGCTTTATAATAGACAAATATTGCCATACTGTAAACATATTTTTTGATTGTCCATATTGTTTTATATTTAGTTTAATAATTACATTTATTTTCAAAAAATACAATCAAGGGCTTACCTGAGAGGTCAAATAATCTCTTACTGTGCAAATAAAAAGAAGAAAAACATCGAACGGCTAAAATCGCTGACAGATCAGATTCTACAGTTAGACAGGGAATGCTGCCATGCTTTTACACAYGACTCACTTAAGAAACGTACATTACTCCAAACAGAGTTTAACATCTTATCTACCCAACAGGCCGAATATTTAATATCCAAATCTAGGTATGGCTACTATGAGCATGGTGGGAGGGCTGGATGCCTTCTTGCACAGCAGCTACGGCAGCGCTCAGCTAAACAGGATATCAGTATTTCTGCTATAGATGATAAGCATGGTGTAAAATGTTGTGAGAATGCAGGAATCAATCTGTGTTTCAGCAAATTTTACCAGTCTCTGTATACC